TGAGCCTAGTAGCAACGTATTGGACCCGTTGGATCTTCTGTACCTCACCTCGGGTAATCGGAAAGTAGGCGGGCGAACCGTACTTTAGTCTTGGTTTCATAATAGAAGAGAAGAGACGAGTGGCAACCTCTTCAGACCATTTGCCGAAGCAACGTTTAGGCACCCAAAGCATGTGCAGTCCGCTACGATATACCCTGTTCGTGTTGTCCACGGAGTACTTCTAGGTCCTTCACGGAGGATGTGGGATATGGCAATTGGTCGCCAAGGGTGTTGCTTCGGCCGTCAGCACCCTTCGCCAGGCTCATAAATGCAGACTTGGCTGGGTTAACTGTGAGATGAACTTCTGCAGACCATGTGGATAGGCGGTTGGGGTCTTGCAGAAGTACGCCACAGTCGTCGGGGGCATCATTTTCTCTCCAAATCTTCATGTCGTCCGAAAACAAGGCACATGGCTACCGGAGAAGCTGAGGTAGATCCTTGATGTGGATCAGGAACAGAGTGGGCCCCAGCACAGTGCCTTGAGGCACGCCACTTGTAGAGGGATACCAATCAGTTAGATAGTCGTCGACCTGTACCCTCCACTTTCGTCTAACAAGAAAGTCGCGGATCCATCGGTGCGGTAAGCCACTGACACCGCACATCCTGGGTTTGTGAAGGAGGACTTCATGGCTGACCTTGTCGAACGCTTTACTGAAATCGACAGACTTCTTCTTACTTATTGCCTTCAACCATTCCCGCTTCGTCACAAGCAAGTTTCTAATCCATGAGCGGCCTTGCACAAAACCGTGCTGTATGGGCGTCAGTACCTCTTTTGACGGTAACAACTGCAATAATCCCTTTTTTACGATTTTCTTAGTAACCTTTGCCAAAATAGTTGTCAGACCAATTGAATTGAGGTTGTCTACTTTGCTAGGGTCGTCGCCTTTCGGAATAGCCTTCACCACGGAAATTTCCAATCGGCAACGAACTTTCGGACAGTTACCTGTTTAAAAAGTCGGTCACGACAGGAGAGATAATGACTGAAAGTGACTCGAGAATCAGTGGTGAAGCCCATCAGGTCTGGCAGGTTTACTGCCGTCAAGGTTGGTGAGTAGTTGACATACTTCTTCAGCGCCGCAGTCCAAACTGTTGAGTTCGATAAAAGCGGTACACATCGAACTCGGAACAGACACCTGGTTATTTGCAAATACAGAAGCGAAGTGCTCCGCCAACGCGGACGAGCGCTCAGCGTTGGAAGTTAGGAGCTGTCCGTCCGGGCCATCCAGCACTGGCACATCACCTGCCAGCTTCAGGCGTTGCTTCAGGTAAGCAAAGATTCTCTTTGGGGTGGTCTTCGCGGCGATTGCGAGTTGCTCTTCGAAATGTCGACGTTTATTCCTTTTTGCACTGTTGCAGAGGTTCCGCTGACTTTTATACCATTCGTAGTCATTGGCAGAGCCAGAGAGGAGGAATTTGTCCCACAGTCTGCGCCGCCTCCGAGCCAGATTTCCATACTCCTTGTCAAACCAATGAGGCTTAATCGGTCCAACCTTCTGACATTTCAAGGGCACAAATTGGGAACACAATGATGTCAATCTCTCTTTTATAAATATCCAACAGTCTTCCACAGATGCAGCTTGTGACAGAGACCAATCCAGTTGGCTCGCGGCTCGAGCTAGACCGTCGAAGTCCGTTTTCCAGTAGTTGTAAGCTGGTTCCAGCGGACGTGAATACGGCAAAGGTAATTCCATATCAGCTATGAGCACTGAGTGGTCGCTTGTAGCCAGAAGCTCCAGGATCCGAACGTCACGCACTCGTTGTTCGTAGCTCGTTAACATCAGGTCGAGACAGGACGGGGTTGAGCGTGATGCTATGCGCTTTGGCTGGCATATGTGTTGCGATGCACCGGTTTCAAGTACCAAATCCATGAACTTTGCTTCAACCTCACCAAGTCCAGGCATCAAATGCACATCAGACCATCCTATTTGAGAACAGTTAAAATCACCCATAAGTAGAAAGTGTGGACGACTCATGTGGCTTCGAAGATGGGGCACCCAATCCAAACAACCACTTAAGGGGCTGCGATAGACTGCGCCCACAAGTAGTTCTCCGCGCCTGAGATGGATGCCGCACCACAGTAGCTCACACAAACCATCGTCACTTCGGTAGGTGCTCACAAGTCTCCCATACAGAGAAGACCGGATGTAGAGCAAGAACGCGGGCATTCATTAGTCCATCGCATCGGAAGCACGAGTAATCTTTGAGTTTAAGTTCCTGGGTGTATAACTCTGAATGCAGCCAAGTTCTGCGAGTCCCACTACGCCTAACCGCTCAGATGCAACGAAACAACCAAGCTCATCGCGCTTGTTCATAACACCGCAAACGTTGCTGAAGGCTACTCGCAGACTGCAGCAGGAACCGCCGGGCGTGCTTGAAATGTGAGCAACCTGTTTATCCTGATTCGCAGATTCTTGGAAACCACCCGAAAATTTACGATACGAAGATTTGTTTCCCCCTCACCAGTACGTCTTTTCAGCTCAATGCTGCAGATAGCCATTCCCGGTCTACTGGGTGCAGGTCTGGACGAACATGGATCTTCAAACCTTTCAGCCTACTTAGGCGGGGACAAGATCAGTCTTGGACTGGTTTCGTCCAAAAAAGTGATTCTCATAGGCCGATTTTGTTGATCACCTTTCTTTCCAAGACGGGTACTTTGCCTCACTTTTACCGAGTCCTCATCAGCGTCGAGGAGTCTGTCAGTTAGACTCTGTGAAAGCTGGACATCGTGATCGTTAAGCATTTGGGATGATGGATCACTGGACTCCGGCGCGTGGAAGATCACGAGGTTATAACGCCTCTGGTCGGACGAGGTTGACCTTACAGGGCCAAGTATGCGAGCCTCACGTGGTTTGGCTAACTGTTGACTTACAGAAGTTAAACGCCCAACATCTCTTCGTAATTTCGTTCTTTGTTCTTTCCACTGGTCTTCAGTACTCAAGTTTCCATCTGCTGGGACATCCGTGATCTTTGGACACAACAAAGTTAAACCATTTATGCCAGGTGAAACTGGGCTTCTCACAACGGTTGGACTTCGTGCCGCTGAGTTTGCACGGGTAGAGGAGGAAAACTGAGCTGAAACCTGAAGGATCTTCGGGCTAGGTTGTTGGGCCAAACACGCGGAGCTGTTCGCAACGGAATGATGAAGCCTACACGTCGGCTTTACTCTTCCTGACTGTATCTTGTTTCAGCAATTTTCACATTAAATTTGAACGAAATCGTGTAGGATTTTACGAAGACAATGAAAATGCTCAACTGATAATCCAACACATGAAATATGGTATTTAACGTGGCATAAAACACAGGTGAGAGCATTTGCACGATATCCGACTATCTTGGAACAAGTACCACAGGGTGATTGTTTCGGCATTGTGAATTGTCTGAAAATAGGACGGCGACCAATTTGCTGGAGAAAATGGCGATAGCATGATCGCCGGAACCAAGCGATGAAAACACAAATATTTCTGGTCGGAAAATTCAGAATCCGAAATGAAACTGAATAGTATTTAAATTTCCACGAAATAATTCCAATGAACGAACAAATCCAACGCAAAGTGATCTTGTCAACACAGCCAAAACTAACCGACCGGAGGTCGCTATCCACAGTTATCCTTAGTTGATAGCAACCATCTCGAGCGATGCCTTGGTGCCAACTATGATTAGTGACCTGAGAGCACTTGGAATCTTCTGACTTTGTTGTGTCGCCACTGACTGTTCGCACTTCACGATCGCATAGTGAACACGAAGACGAGCCAGGACCGAATTGTCTACATGAGAATTTTACTTCGTCTTAGTAGTGTACAGGGGTGGATGAAGCAGAGCTGCTGAGACACTTTGAAGCCAGCCAACCACATGGGAAATACTGAACAATACGGGCAAATGAAAAAAATGGTAAAAGAACCAATTACGCGATTTCGAGTAAACCGGATTAGCAGAAATGGGGCCCCTGAGATGACACACATTGCGAAAGACGTAGACTGCTCAATCAAAACAAAGCAATGATGCGTTTAAACAGATGTCAAGAAACAATCAGTGTCGAAACCAAAGTAGGCAGCTATGAATTCTCAAAAAGCATATGTCCAGTACGTATAGAGGAACGGTCCTCATTGTTATGTTGCAAACACAGCCTTTAGAAATAGAGCAGTCTCAAACCGATAACGATATTATAACTTACTGAATTCATTTCCAGCTCCCGTACTACGTTACCCAGGTTCATCAGTCGCACACTCATCACTGGTGAAGCCACTATGTTTCGCGTCCTCATTTGTCAGCCCTACATCAAACAGCTTGTAGTTTTGAAGCAACACCTTACGTGTCGAAGATACACAGGTGGACTGTGTAAGGTGGACTGCATTGCTTTGTGACTATTAAAGAGTGAGACAGTGTTCTCAACACGCACCGACTCACCATTTTTCATTAGCAGAGCCAAAATAATTCTATCTCGTGGCTTTACCAGAAAACATCCCATAATGGTGCCTACGTTAAGATTGAACGAAGATAAGGAAATGGTGCAAACCTAGTGAACGCCACTTGTTGTCGAAAAGGCTTTCAGCCACTGGCCACAAACCTTGACGCGACCCTAAATGAATGGTTGTTTGAGCCCCTTATCCCTCCTACACACATTAAACCCTTGTTCACTAAAGAGTTTGATCACCTCATCTAACATCAACCATGGTGTGCGGTATTTCTTGGCTTATTGCAGCATTTTGTTTTCTTATAAATCGAAAGTACTCAGCATCGTATGTTCATCGGATAAGTTTCATGACTCTTCAATCTACCCTGTACCAGTTTAGCCAACGTAGTCGTGTTTTTTGTGTCCTATTGTAGTATCCGATATTTTAGTCTCTATGGATCACCCTTAGCTGTTTTCCTGTTTCCCCACCTACCCTACTGTACAGATCTCACCCATGGCATTATTGCTTGTGCCATCTGCTCATCTACTGTTTTTTTGTTTTTTTTTCCAGCACTGCCATTCACCAACAGCCTCCGGATCAGGAGTTCGTTGTTCTCTGTTGGACGCCTTCCGTGTTTACACCATTCTTTGTGGATCGCCCAACTTCAGCTTGCCTCATCTAATCTCAGCTACTCCGCGTTTGCGATTCGTCGACCTCAGTCCCCTTGGCGACCACCCGTTATCATCTTCATCTAACCCGTCTGACAACGCTGGTGCCATACCTTCGATCAGTTTACTTCGTTTGGTTCAATTTGGTGAGATCAATGGTCTCATTCATCGTCTCAAGTGTTACCCAATCGGGGACCTAACCGGCTACATAGACCCATCTTCCTCCCAACATCCTGATTTTTCTCTGGTCGACTCTGTGTCATCTGAGTCCACCTCTTCGCGTACTCCAAAATCATCACTTGTTAACTCAACTCTCTCCCCTATGCAAACTAGGGCGGCGAAAGCCGCAGCTGTTTGGACTGCTTCTGACGAGGAGATTTGGACTAGGATCCGATCTTCCACCTTGGATGGCCTCCATAGCGTGGAAGCGATTGGATGCAGGTTGTCGTCTGAAACTGGCCTTTTGTCTCCCTCGCCCTTCGTTGCCACAGAATTGGTGACCAACCGGCTCCATGGCGGTTCGTTATTTCGCTCCGTTGAACCAACTTTTCCTGATCTGGCGCTAACAACGATTCACTCTGGGCATCAGAAAGCCGTCCCCATTACTATTCCGACCTCTGTCACTGAAGGAGATGGAACGCTCCACACGCTTCCATCTATGTTGCCCAGAGCAAATCGACGCTTGTCCTTCGCCGGCAAAGGAGATGCTTCTCGAACCACGGAGCGCAGTGCTCCCATTCCTGAGGTGGTGAGTGGTACTCGTTCATCTCTCACGACATACCACGACCAATCATTCAGCACACCTGCTTCCAACCCCTCCAAAGTTCCCCACGTATACTGGTTGTTGAGATGAAGTGCTTGCACCCATCGCGCGTGTTGCCTATTTTGCTTAATTCGAATTCATTATTTTTTAAACTCTGTTCACCCTTTACTTCTATCTCTCCGAGCAACTCGTCCTGTGATATACTGTTACTCCGTGACTGACGAGGTATGACTGTCGTCCGCCACCGGGGTTCCGCTTTCTGGTTCTTCGTCAACAACCGGGAATCACTTACGCCTCATTCATGAACACTCTCAAGAGCCCATCTCTGTGGATTATCTCGCACCCGCAACAATTTACCCATTTGGTCATTAATCTGTCTCACGCGATGATGGCGGTCAGCAATTATCCGGCATTGTGCAAAGCACAGTTCGCTGACACATGACGTCCATGCGAATCACGCACGCCGTTGACATCCTTCTCCGGGTAATGAACTGCACGATAAGCAGCTACGTAATCATGTTACTCACGGAGGCCGGTACTCTTACCGTGAATATAGTGTGGCATGAGATTGTCATTTGAAATGAACCAAGCCAGCCTCAAGTGGCCGGTGATCGGCGTTCAATGCAGAAACCCCCGTGCACAAGAAATAGGCTGCTATTCATCCAATTAATCACATGGCACATACTCTTGTTTGCCCACAGGAATACGTTTCTTTGGTACCCAAATCCACTACGAAACTCGTCAACCTGTCATTATTCTGTCGAATTTTCTGTTACACCCTCCTCCTATGTACATAGCGACTATTTCAAACAATCGGCTATTTTTTTTAATCGCGCGATGTTTTTTCTGACACTCTGTGGTACTTGCTACCGGTGCTGTTTTTGCTACCAACATTTTCGAAGCAGACGTTTCTTTGTGTTTTTTGAAACCATCACGCTACTTGAACTCCACTTGTATGCACTTTGTAATGACCAATACGCTTCGAGAGTTATTTATTTATTCATTATAACGGGTCTCATCAGGAGACACGTTGTGTAACTGCGTAACTCATCTTTGTAGTATTGTTACCTGGGTTACTGTGGGGAGAGTAGGGCAGCAAATGAACGATTTTATCGATTTGGGACTCGTTCCAATTAAGAACTATCATAAGTACGGAGCAACTTTGTTACTATTCTAGTCCTTCCTAAATCCAATAATAAAAGTGTATTCATGACTTTCTGGTAGTGACAACTGCATTTGTTTTTGCTATAACGTCCTACTTGTTTCGACTCTTAATCAGAACGGACGAACTTTCCTCAACAATGATACCCCACGTTTGCAGAGTAGCCAATCGAATTCGGGATGTTGCGGGCTAACGTGACCCAGCCGCCAGACGTACATGCGAGCTGAAACTGGCGATGGAAACGCGTAACCCAGCACGGCTGCACTGAGGTCCGAAAGAGAGCGAAAGCTGTCTTTTACTGAATCAGCCAATGCATAGCATGTCTTCTATATTTTCATATTAATGGCTATATATAATAGTAGGATAATGCATAAACTATAGAGGAAGGTGGATGTTGGCCAAACACACCCAGTGATAATATCCTGAGTGAAATTTAATCACTGTTTGTGTTTGTCTGGTAACTGCGGCAACAAATGAGGAGCTCAGATGATTCGCCGCACTTTGACACAATAGATCCCCTAGTATCATGAGGAGAGTTCAGTGGGTTCACTGGGGCTTGACACTGTAGATATATGTTTTATGTTGGTTCTATGTCTACTTGATAGACTGCTGAGATTTCTACTACTACTACTACTGTAGATATATTAGTGTCTTGGGTGCAGCTCTGTTGGTTCACTGCGGCTTTCTCTCAATCTCCTGGGGACGGCTCGGTTGTTACTTGCTCAATCTGAGTCGCCGCATGGTGGTTGTATGTCTGAGTTGAAGCCGGCGAAATCTGCGCAAATTTCTCGGAGCAATGCGATCTACGCAACATGTTTACAATTTCTTCCCTTGCTATAGTTATGCACTTGTCCGCACGGTTCACTGATACTTTGGATGTCTCAGCATTGAGATGTTTGTATGTCTGGAGAAGTTTAGAGAAGCCTACTTCACTTCATCATCACTATGGAACTTTTGGTGTCTGGGACCTCTTTTAGGGTTCCAATCGGATGGAAGTCACTAGACGCTATAAGGAAAATGTGATTTTAGGATCAAGGAAAGCAAGTCTCCCTGCTGATCAAACGCAGAAATCCATGTTAAAATCCGCCCCCTTAATTTTCGAAACAATAGTCTGGAATCGACTGCTCACTTGACCTTTACAACTTCGACGTTCGCTTGACCGATACATGCCGCCACGGAAGTCGGAAAAATCCTCAGTCATCCCACTGGCTCAGATAACCACGCCAGGCTAGATGGTAAACATCGAGTAAGTGCACATTCAAATGGGCTCCAAGCTTAGGGTGTTCGCGACTCAGGAGCATGTAATCGATTAGTCAAACTAGGCTTAGCTTGTTCGCTTTTTTCAACTTGGTACCCTCCGAGTTGTGCTAGCTTATCCCAACAGCAGGTGCGAGAGATGAATAGCTCTCAAGATGTCCTTTGGTTCTGTACTACCTATTCGACCATCCCATTTGTCAAGTGTATGCTTGTCCTAGTCCAGAAATGCAACCGGTTGGTAGCAGAAGCCGAGCAGCGAATGAACACTGAGATCATCTCATTGGTAGTAAGTCTGAACCAGTTAAATCCAGGGACATTTAACCAAAAGAATGGTGCACAAGTTCTTGCTCCTGAACCACGATCGGCCGGGTCCCGATCGCCGTTGTCTTCCCCTTCTTGGGCATAACCCCAGGCGAAAATTGACCGTAACTCCGAGAAGCAAACAGTGCCCGTGGCAACTATATTCAGGCACCAGGCGAGACGTGTGAGTAATCAAATCCCACCAGTTTTAGTGACACCTGTATGTAGAAAGGACAGCAGCCCTCAACATCTGCAGCTCAGGGGTCTGTCATCGAGCCAAACTCCCCTAGAATATCAGTCACATATGCCGCACTTGCTGCAAAGTTCACCCGAGAGGCCAGTCTTTCAGTCGTTTCTGTTACAAGCATCGCTAACTTGAATAGAGAGACAGCATTAAGCAACCATCACTTGATAGCAACTCAGGACCAACGATCCCCCAACCTTACAGCTCAACGGAAAGGAGATCTAACAATATTGCCTTGACTGTTGTGTGCTCGAACGTACCCGAATCAGCAGCTATCACATTGCAAGGTAAATTGTCCGACGACCTAAACCAATGAGAGTCACTGTGCTTTCTGATGAAAGTAAAAGCCCAAACCCACAGACTTAGTACGAATTACTCTTCACCCGAACTCTGCACACTTTAGCGAGCCCAGACTTGTTAGAGTCACGCTAGAATCCTCGTCTGATGAGGAAAACGTTCTGCTGTCCACAAACGCGCTGCCACCTGGGTCGTTTGGGAAACGTTTCTATGCTGGTGTTCCGTGGAACATGCGACAATCGAAAAGAAACTCCGAAGAAGGACACAGCAAGTCTGATCGCCTAAACACTGTATTCATCCATGTTATGCCAGTGCTTCTTTTACGCAGTAGTCAAGAGATCGGAAATCAACATTTAGGACAATGGCGATTCATCCGTGAAACTCTTTCCTTGGATAGTGTTGTGGCGCAATCGCTCAAAAGGTTACTTCGGCCGCCAACTTATAGAGGGTGCGGTCCGAGAATCCTAAAACTAGTGGTTCAATCCGATCAAACAGCGACGGATCTTTTACATAGTTGGCGCAACAATCGAAAAAGCTTTCCACCGGAAATTCGGTTCAAGACTGCAGATGCTTCGCAATGTCCAGTTACGTAATCATGTGAAAAAAGAGGCACCGGCTATGATTTCTCCTTTACTCGAGACTGGCGTAGGTCTAGATAAGAGTTAAGACGCACCTTGAACAGAGCAAGGTACGGAAGTAGTATCAGTCTCTCATCAAAAATACCAATAACTGCCGACCTCACATCGGTCGGCACTCCCACCCACCTGAATTCCTTCACACGCTGTGGTGTACTGGAAGCCGATAAACTAGCCTGCTTGTACATGAATGTTCAGGGCCTCTTCAATAAGCTGGCCGAACTGAAAGATCGCCAAGTTTCCCAAAAATACCATATCCGAGACGTGGTTGCACACTGAAATGACTGACGCTAAAATTTCCCTGCCTGACATGTTAATTACTCGGAACGACAGACTGGAGGAGGAGGAGGCGTAATTCTGTATTACCGAAGCGACTTGCAGTGCGAGGTCCTGTAGGATTCTGATTCGTTTTGGTGCCGCCTGCATTTAAGAGACAGAGACACGCCTTATAGCCATTTTGTACTGTCCCCCTAACCCTACTTCTGAAACGGACTACCAAATTGCGACTGCTCTACGGTGAAATCTAAAAGGATGATACACCCATGTGAGATTTTAATAAGCATTGTTTAGCAAACCCTACCACCAGCTGAGAACAATTCAAAGCCGATCTGCAGGAGCTTGTAAGAAATGTTCCGTTTTATAATCATGTTACTTTGCCCACAGTTCAGGATAGGTAATAAGCCATCTGTGCTTGATATTGTGCTTTCCACCAAAGAACATTTGATTGATGTGTTGGTTGAAAAATGCCCGTTCAGTCGCAGTGATCCTGCAGTTATTCGTTTTAATTTCATGCAGAATACTGAGATGCGGACCAAGAGACTACCCGAAGGATGAAGGATTCCATCAACTTGGAGAAGGGAAATTGGGCGGTAGTTTAAAGCTGCGGTACCGCTTCCATCTTTGTGAACGGGTCTTATTATTCCAAGCTTCCACATGGCAGGAACTTGGTTCTGGTCTAAGCAGCGCTGGAAGAACTGAGCCAGTGGCTCTGCCAGTTGACTTGGTACTGCTCCTAGTGCCTATGGGCGAATAGTATCTACACCATGGGATTTGTGCTTGCGTAGAGTGGTCAGGTTCTGCAAGAGACATTTGGTGGTAAAGGAAGTGTGAGTGAGTCCCGGTGGCGGAACGATAACAGTTGGAGGATCTCCCGATGAGAATACCCTCTGGAAGGTGAGGGCATATTGCGTTCGCAGCACGTTTGCTGCTTCTGTACCCCTTCGTGTTGGGCCATCAGCCGTGCTGAGTGGCGGAACACTTTGCCTCACTTTTCAATGACCATTGACGAGCTTATACAACAGTTTATGATTAGCGCTGAAGGTTTTTGCCATGTTCTGCTGATGTTCGGCTTAGTCCGCTCTGAGCAGTTAAGTGCAGTGGTTTCGCTGGGCTACGTACAGGGTGTGTTAATAATCTGGTCCGGAGCTAGGAGCGACTGCACTCAGGTGCTGACGTACACCGGTACGCTGAATTGCTAACTGTCCAATGGCACAAATTGCTTTGCCGGCAGAGGTGAGAAGGGACACAGACACGCGCAATCTGTGCCTACGATCGCAGGGCACACCGACCCTTTCGGCTGTGAGAGGTGCACGTTAGCAAACACCACATCCGCAAATGAACTGTCATGCGTGGATCGCAGGGCAAGACCAAGGGAACGCATGCAATTTGGCTGTGAGAACTGAACGTTAGCCAGACATCACAGTTGCACTGAACGAGTCATGCTTCGATCGATTGGTAATCGGCCTTCACCCGGGTGAAAAAGCAGCAAAAGGGTTCCCTGTGAAGTGGTTAGTGGGTTGCTGTGCCAGCAACTGAGAAAAGCAGTCTGGCCGTATGTGACGCCCGGTCGATAGGCGCCGTATTGCTATCGCCGCAAAAGCTGTTATCGCCTCGTGATTGGCTTCCAACAAACCGGTAAGGTTTTAGTAGGCTGCTTTCGCTGCTAAAGGGAATCAAACTGCCGGGAGCATATTGTAAGGTTACAGTGTTGTTCGCTTTACCGTTTCGATTGCGTGTGTGTTACAGCTGAAAATTCACCCTTCCTGGGTGCATAAAAACGAATTCTTGACGTGACAATGCTCTTAGATTTCAGTCTGTCCGACGCCCTGGTGGCACCATGAGACAGCACACCAATTTAAGCATGAATGCAACCATTTCCCTCACAGTCAGACAATTGCTAGTTGTACAAATTGATCAGGCCTTCGGTGGTGTTTATCGTGTA